CAAATGGTTTTCAATGCATTCCTATGGGAAATGCAGATTTGACTTGAGAACTTTTTGACTTGAGAACCGCCTTCCAATACGGATTAAGTTCTCAAGTCAAGACCCCACTGTAGTAACTGGCTTGGGGGACATTGATCTTATAACAGTAGCTGATTACTTTAAAAAAATTAACTTTTCAAACTCTTTTGATAGATTTATAATAACAACAGAGTAGGTCACTAAGGATTTGCTAGATATTCACTGTGCTCAAGATCACTTTCCTAAGATGGGAGACTGCTCCTTCCAATGGTAGGGCCGGCCCTGCTCTGTAACTGATTTGTCCCAGTTCAGTAGGGGCCCTCAGCAGAGGAACAATTTGCCACATGAAAATAATAACCTAATTGGCTACAGATTGATTGCTGGAAGCTCTGCAGACCATGCCATCTCCCTGCAAATAATTGATTGGGTTGCTCTGATGCCACTGGGTGTCTATTCTCACCACTGTAGCATGAAGGCTTGATCACAGAGGGTTGGGGAAAGAGCGTTGCTCTGGCAAAGAAAGTTAGGACTCAGCCGCTAAGGGGGAGAACCTCACGGGGGGGCTCAAAGATACAAAGAGCCATTCAGTCGGTTGCAAGAGGGCTTCAAGGGTGCTCTGGAAAGCAGACAGAGGGCACTGGAGACCGACTTGCTGAGCAACAGGGGGGTCAGTGGGGCGGGAACGAAAGGAAGAGGGGCAGATGAGGGAGGGAGACCTGAAGAAAAGAAGGATGGAAGAGGAAAGGAGTCACGACTGAAGGATGGAAGGAGCTGTGTGGAAGAGGCAGTGATGGTGAGGCGCGCAGAAAGGCAGCCGGCTAAATTTGACATATTCAATGTGTAGGAAAATAATCAGTCAATGTTATGTTGCAGGTCTATATTACTGTTGAATTAAACTGTTTCCTGCATTAGTCACTCCTCTGGGGCATTGGGCTTAGGATATTGCAGCCGCTTTGCTGAAGCATGGAATCTGCTGCCCCCTGCAGGAGGTCCCATGCTTCTCCCGTTTGTTTGGTGCCAAGGATGTAGCGCCAAACAAACTGGAGAAGAGCAGTAAGGAGACTTGGCACTCAGGCAGATGGTAGGGCTCAGGGCCTCCTGGTCTTTCCACACTAGGTGGCAGGACCAGTTACCCTTCATGGTTTCCACAATCCCCTCAGATGCTTGATGTAGCTCCACTCCAGGACACTGTGGGAAATAGAAAATACCAAAATAAGCCTATAGCCAAAGCATTACCAACACAGGGGAAAGCCACACAGATGGCACTTTGCTGGGGACCCCAACATACTTGAAACCAGTATTGCGCTTAACCTCCACAGACTAAAATGACTGCAATACATTTTCTTGTTGCAAATGCTGCTTTCAGGCATGCCACTTTTATCTTTTAGTTGGAAATGCTCAAGAGGCCGAACCTGGCCCAGAGAACTCCAGCTGTTGACCCCTATTCTAGCCTACGGTCTCCTGGGGCATAGCCCTTCCTGACATGGAGAAGTCACAGAATTCTATGGTGTAGGTGTCTAGCCACCATGTAGTTACAATGTATGATTCCCATGTTGTTTCCTCCATAAAAACGAATAATGGAAACTCTTCTTTCTGTCTGGCAATCTTTTTAATTACAGATATTATTCATCAATGCTGCCTTTCTGCTTCTTGATCTTGCCATCTACTGAAAACCTGGGGTCTTATGCTATTTACCCAAGTAAACAATGTATAACAGCAATCACTGTGGGGAAAAGCTTTGTGATTTGTCCTCCCTCCTGGTCAGCACATGGGATACCTTTCTCTAAGTAAAACTTTGAGCAGCTCACCAGCATCTCGTGGAGAGGCAGTTTTCAGAGTAACAACTTACAGTATGGAGGACTTGTCTTTTTGAGAGGCAGATTTAAATAATACCTCCTCCTTTTTTGTGATTGAATATAGGTTCCTTTATGGTCCATCTAGAACTGTCTGGGAGCAACTTGTCTGCTTCGTACTGGTGACTCTGGGGTCTTATGTTTCTCTTAGCTATTTGTTTATTTATACTGTACAGTGGCTTTTGATTTTTTTTCTTTTACCCTAAGTTGTTTAGTGAAGACAACATTGAATGTACATTGGTGTGTAGTTGTTCCTATGCTTCCAGAACAAAACAAAATACCACGGGAACTCCCCAGCTCTTTAGGTAATATAGTATACCATATATCATCGCCATTAAATGTGCCTTGTTGAATATGCTAACAAGGGGGAGAAATTTTTTTTGACCTAAGATGACCTAAGGTTAAAAAAAGAGCAGGAAAGGTTTTTTTTTTCCTGTTCTTATCTTGGATTTCTGTTCTCAAGTAGAAGCAAAATTTAGCAAATGGAGCTGTTCTTAAGTTGGATTGTTCTTAAGTAGGGACGTTCTTAAGTAGAGACCCCACTGTACCATATATCATCACTATTAAATGTGCCTTGTTGAATATGCTAACAAGTATTTACTCATGGGCACTAAGCACTGTCAGGCACTATGTTAAAGAACTGGGATGGGGAATGAATAATAGAAGTAAAACTTACTCATTTCAAAATAAACAGAAGTTGGTTTTCAGCCATCCTGGGAAATCACATAATCACACTACAGTATCTGCCTTTTCTAGTTCCGGCTATATGGGGAATTGCTGCCTTTCACTCCATCAGGTGAGAAATGTTCCCTGTATATTATGAGAGGCATCCTCTTGCGGTTATATCAGATGTTTCAGGATTAGGTCTATGCATGGAAAATTTGTTTTGACTGAGGGAGCCCAGAAGGATTAAGCCCTGATATAGAAGAAATTTTCACTGTCTTCCTTGTCTCCCTGTATCTTCCCAGCCGCTCCAACCTGAATGCCAAGACCTATGACAACTTGAAGCTGAACTGTGATAACCCAGACTTCACTGCAGCCATCATCTGCATCCCCACCCCTCCAGCCAACACACCGGATGAGAGCCAGCCCCCCTCGCCTGGAGGTGGCACCGGTGGACCCCTACGTAATTCCAGCCCATACATACTTCATGAGACTGTCAAGATCTCCTCATTGTAAGAGGAGACTGGGGGTAGGTTGGGGCACTTGTCCTTCCCCCTTCCTCTACCCAGAGTCACCCATGGCCCTCTGGGTCCTGGTAATGAGCTGGGGATGGGCTCTTCTGCACAAGCCTCCACCCCGCTGCAAGGGGAAGAGATCCATGGGGTGCCACACTGTCTTTTTTTCCTTTCAGAGGTGATATCGGTAGCCACCAAAAGGGGCCACTGGTGAACTAGAGCTTCCAACCCTGTTCAGTTCCTGCCCCCTGCCCTCCCCCATTGCAACCAAAGCCATATAGTAGGGGAGGTGGGTCCCTGATGCTATGCAACCACAGGGGGGCTGAGTGTGATGCAGGGAAATACTGGATCCCAAGAAGCAACATATTCAAAACAGGATGGGGACTCTTTTCAAAATACCAAACCTACTGCCTCCTGTGTTGGGAAGTGGGTAAACGTCTGGGGTGAGCTAGGACTCATGTGGTTTTGTTCTTTAACTCTGTGACTGATACAGGGTTTGGAGCAGCCGAGCAACATAGATTGGTGTTTTGGGGTTCTAGCTTTTGAAAAGGGGGGAGAGTCTAACAGTGGGATTACATTAGTGAGGCAAGGAGACTAAACCATCTGTTGTAGACTACATTTGCTGGCAGAAAGGAAATGGCTAAGAAATAAGGCTCTTTGAGATCATGGAGATTCCAGTCAAGGAAATATTGCTGAGTGTTTGGGGAAGTATTGTCCAATGCTTAGAATAAGGGACTCTAACTGTATTCCAGCTAAGGCCAAGGTAGCCTATGGAGAAAGGGAGAAAAAGGATCAAATCGGCTAAGCTTCCAACAGTTTTTCAGTCTTTTGCCTCTTTGGGCTGAGACAAGACATTACTAGGAGGAATGGCACCTGTACGCCTCTCTTTCCTCTCCCACCCTCTCCCTCAGCCTTTCTTTCTTTCCCTCCATCCCACGACCTGTTTGGTCTCTAGGAAACTGCACTTTAAAAACAGTCTATAGCACCCAAACGCAACACCTCGTGGGAACCACATGCATCACGCCAGCCTTTCCTGCCCGGGCCACACCCACACACCCCGCGCCCCCACTGCGTCGCCTCAAGACTGTGCATGAGCAGGATGCCTCCATGGGCGGTATCCTGAGTCCAGAGCTACAGAGCACCAGAAGCATGAGTAGCTGCCGCCTCCCCCATTTTCAGCCACCCAGCCGGACTGAAGAGAATAACGCTGTGAAGAACTCAACCAAAACCTTCGGAGCAGGAGGCAGCCGGTGCTGTTCTCCTCCTCTTCCTTTTCTTTTTCCTCTTCTGGACCATATTTTCCTGGTTATTACAAATAGTGAGTGAGAAAGAGACTGACTCTTGACAGTAACATATACACCTTTCATTGTCACCTGAGAAGGGACTTGAACATGGCAGAAAGCAGGCAAAGAACTTTGGAGCAATAATGGATGCCGTTCTAGGTATCAGGTGGGCCACACAAGTCCTGAAGCATGCATCAAATTGGCTGGCTCTCGGCATCCTGAAAAAGGTGCTTCTCTTGACAGGATGGGCCTTTTTTGTTTCAATCTGCTGTCGCTCTTCGTCTTCAGCTCTCTCACTTTTTAGCAAATGTGGATTCCTTCTCCTGACTATCAGGGAGAAGTAAACAGGGCTTGTTTGCATAAGAGAGGGAGCTGGCCGTCATCTGTGAATTGAGTCTCTGCAGATGTTGTTCCACTTTAACTCCCCAGTTGTAGCCAGTGTGGCCAGTAGTGAGGCATGATGGGAGTTGTAGTTCAGTAATGTCTGGAGTATCACAGTTGCTTCATCCCCGACGTAGGTCACCGACATAGGTCAGGTGGATAGGAACACCACCTCATGCACTTGGACTACTCTTTCAATAATTATTGGCAATTGCCCATGCAGGTTGAGGATGATGGCACTATAGTCCAAGATACCCTGGAAGGCACCAGGTTGCTGTTGGGTTAAAATGGAGGTCTGCAAGGATGTTCACTTCCTTTTTGGGAGTGAGATAGTAGCAGCATACTCAGGAATAAGCACAGGGCAACATACACTGGGATAACATTCTTTCAGTATGAGTCTTCATCTCTGGCACAGGAGTTGTGAGATTATAGAGCTTGGAAAAGTTAGTTTTGGACTTTTTGGAATTCTTTCCCTAGCTAACATGGCCAGTTACTTTTCCATATTTTGAGTGAAAGCGTGTGCTTGAACGAGATCCACACTCAAATATAGGACATACGTGATCTATCCTTCCCCTTAGTCCAGTTTGACACCCTGGATTTGCACTTTTTTAACCAAAGTTTTCCTTACAACAATTAAATAAAGCAATAGCTCCATCTATTTGATGGTTAAATACCCATAAATTACTTCAGCACACTTCAGTGCTGATTACTAAACTAATGCACTTTGAACAAAATGATAAACAAATCAGGAGCACTGGAGGAGATGAAAGTATCTCCTGAAAAGAGTTTAAGAGCAGTTGCAAAGGCAGCCAAGATGCAAGGAAAAAACAAGAACTGCTAGAAATATATTTTAGCTGAAAAAATCATTCCATTTTGTACTTCTGTACCACACAAAAAATGGGAAATAATTTTATCCTAGAGTTACCACAACTACATGCTTGGGCCCCCAATCATATCAGTACTATGCACACTGAACTAGAAACAAGCCGAACTAAACTGTGCAGAATATTTTTCCACGTCAGTTTGTGTAGAGTTTGAATTGTTACTCCTCTGACTGGCTTCAAAACTGCTTGCAGAACGGAGAAAGAAAATTCTGCCCCAAAGCAGAATGGACTGTAGATTTGAGATTATAATCGTTTGGGCTGTTTGCTACAGTTTTCCTTCTGTAATTATTTTAAATAAGACTATAGGGCTCACTCCTGGGCCATCACTCTTTGATGTGGAATTATTATAAAAGTAACCCACGTTTTACTGACCTCTCCACTCTACTCTGCTACTACAACACTTGAAAACGATAATGCAGAGAAGCTTGCAGTCAGGGGTACCCGTTTCCTGTCTCCTGAAGATCTCTTCAAAAAGTCTGACTTCTTCAAAGTCCCTGAAGGCGAAATCAGATTCCTCCCGCTTCCTGAAACTAACAACAACTCCACATTCCAGTTTATGCCAAGAGCAATCATTGTCTTGCTTCCGTATGGGGCGGAGGGTGGGAAAGATAAAAACTGTTTTCTCTGGGAGCTGTTGCTCTTCCTTCCTGACCAAACTCCTCAGCTGCTCAGTAAGTAATAAGATATTCAGGGATCTACCGTAGGTTCAACTGTTGCCCATTTATTTGTCAACCTTAACCAGCAGGAGTCCAACAGGCGATTTTTGTACCTTCGTTGCTATGTCTTCATGTTGGGAAGACTGGCACCCAGTGGATCCCACCCCAACTGGCCACGGCTACAAACTTCAGGTTTCATACTTTCATTATGAAAGTATGAAAATTCTTTAGGGAAGTTGTGGGAATCCTAGACTTGGTTTGGGTCATGTCTAGCATTCCCTGAGGGTAAAGGAGTCCCCCTGAGCCATGGCTCCATGACACACAAGCTGTTTTCTCCCTTCTGCCTCATTGTGTACATCCTGTGTAATCCAGGACAGGGATGGGAAACTTGTGCGGTCTGGGTCTTGATGTAAGTGGGCCAGAACTTCCATCAGCCTTTGCCACCAGCTAGGATTGCTAGGGCTGAGGAAACTGGCAGCCTGACCACATCTGGACAGCCATATGCTCCTCTACCCTGCTCTAAGGAGGTCTGGTTGCCTTCTCTTGCTTCCATATTCCCCAGGGTGGGATGGACAGCCAGTTGCCACCAAGAGCAGTGCAAGACATTTTGCTGCCTGAAGCAAATGAGAAGACACTGTTTTCCCCATTTCCATAATCAGACTTACTGCTGACTCCTACTTCACCACTGGCAATGGGACAACATCCCCACGCTATCTGAGGACGATGGATAACTTTGAGGGAGGCAGGCAGGCCCAGTGGCTCACACAGCTCTGTCTTCTCTCCGCTGTGCAGCACCAGCCTTCCAGTGGGGCTGCCTGTATGTTTATCTAATAATAGGGCTCGCTCTGTCATGCATTGTGCTAAATGATGGGACTGGTAGAGGCAAGCTGTGTGCTATGAAGCCATAAATTGCCAGAAGTGAATGCCTTCAAGAGCCACTGCAGAATCTACTGCAGCCTACCAGTATTAGCACCGGTGGTGGCTGAAGTAGGGAAATATACAGAATATAGCATCAGCTGCTTTTTTAATTAGAAAAATCACATAACATTGCACTCCCTGTTGAATTACTGAAGCAGCTCCTACAGTCTTCTTTGTGCTCTTTTAGAAATACAAGGGAGATAAAAAGTAATGGTAGCAGGATTTGCTCCAAGTGTTGATCAAATGGCTGAGGCACAAATTCAGAACTTAATGTTACTACAACTCCCAGAATCTACAGGGTTGGAGGATTCTGGAGGCTGTAGTTGAAATAAGTAAATGTTCCATGTTTGGGGCACAATCCTATGTGAAATTCTTGGATCCCCCACAAATCAAGCCTTATCTAAATGAAGGGCATCTGTTCAGCTGTAAAACTGGGGGACTGAAAAATGTAGCAACAGGCAGAACAATCCAATATATGCTAATTAAGAATTACATCTCACAGTATTTGATGGTGTTGGGGCTCTTGGAAGAATGGCTGGAATTGGAGCAGGCCTGCAGACAACACAGAGCTGAGATTTTAACTTAAGAGGGCACTCAGCCAAAATCCTCCTACGAAGCTATGTGAGTGATGCAACTTTTGGAGGCAAATTGCTCCAGGTTAAGAAATCACCGTAGACATTGCCTGTTGCACACTGATTCAAAGAATTCACTATGCAACAGGAATGTCTACGGTGATTTCTTACCTTAAGGCAATTAAACTTCTAAAAATGATGCTGTTTGTGTTACACTGGCATAACTTAGCAAGAGGATTTGGGTTGCTGTATTTTCTCCTAGCCTCAGCTCTGGTGGGAATTGTGCTGATGAGTATTCACACTTACTAGGGAGGGAGTCAGTAGATCTTACATCCAAGTAGACACAAGATAGCATTTTACAAGATGAGGATTATAAAAAGTCTGTGAAATCACAACTGCTAAGGAGAGATTCCCCTCTCCCCTTTCTAACAGCTACAGAATGTAAGTTTTCCTATGACAAAAATTAGCTTCCCTGTTGCAAAATAGGCTGCAGAAATTGAGGGGGGGGGTTGTGTGTGAAAAAACCCATATATGTCTGTTCAAAAGCGAGCTCTTTTGTGTGCAAGAAGGCTGAACCTCAGGAATGTGCAGGACTGTAGCATGAAAGGAGGGATGTGATACGAGATGAGGAATATATGGCAACCCAGATCTTGGGCTACAGCTGCCATTGCCTCTCACCATTGGCCAAGCTACTTAAGGCTGACAGCTGCTGCAGTCCAACTCGATGAAGGTCCCATTTTCCTCAGCAGGACAGGGAGAAAAACATGTACCTGTACAACAGACATCTAAACTCCACGAAGGGTGTAGAGCATGAAAAAGAACATTTTAGTTCTTTTTAAAGTACTGATGGTATTCCCTGCCATAAAATGTAGCAATGGGCACAAGCCTTGATGGCTTTTTAAAAAGGATTAAACAAAATCTTGGAGAACAGTAAGTGTACATAAACAGGCATAAGCTATGATCACTCATTGAGACCTATGTGCCGAGAGGCCGTATAACCGTGTATGGAAGTAAACAATAAAGAAGAGCGCTGGCTTTATGATTGGCTAGTGAGATTCCACAGTCATCGAGCTGTCCCTTGTTGGAAAGAGGATGTTGAGCTACCTAGGCCAGGGGTGAGGAAACCTTGGCCCTGCTAATTTTTTGGCTTGTCAGTCAGTCCATCCTTTATTACTGGCCATGTGATCTGGGCTTTGGGAGCTGCATAGTGGACTGTGCCCAATATTAATTTATTTCGTTTCTTACTCTTTTCCAGCTCTGTCTTTGCTGGCCCAGTAGTAATAATAATAATCTTAGAACTCTGAGCTGGAAGAGACCATACGGATTATGGTAATTTAATTACATTCAGGGAAATGTCATTCATGTGCATTGCAAGGAGGGTTCAAAAGATTAATTCGCATAATGAGATTGGAATGTTCTGAAGGTGTGCTAAGGTAGTGAATCTACTTAGAGGTCAATTTCGTGCTACTGTCTGAAATATAAGTGCAAAAATTCATATGTCACCTACATTGAACACTGTACATATCTTATTCATTTTTGGTAATTCTGAAGGCCCTCCAGATAATTAGTCAAGAATGCTTTAACAGATCACCACCACTGCTTTTAGGCCAGATCTGGACAAAAGCTGTTTGACTAATATAGCAATCCTGATTTACTCCTTCCTACGTCCATTCTTTTTTCCCCAGCAGTTCTGCATGGTGGTGAATGAGGTGGGCACAGGATGAAAACATTTGCACAAATGTATTTTTCATTGGCTACATAGCTATTTACTTCACCAACTTTCTCAACATGCCAAGCTGTTCATTATAACACAGATCCAGCCTCAGTATAACAGTGTTGTCAGATTATGGATTTGAAATCCTCCTTTTAAAAAAAATCTTGAAATCTCCCATTCATTGCCATTGCTGAAAGCCCTAAAACAGAACCGAGTTAAGGAAGAACTCTATCCTTACAGAATGAGAAAGGAACTTTTTGTATGAAAGCTCTTACATGCCCCTAGTCACTACTGCTAATGGCCGTGGTGGCTGGGGATTATGGGAGCTGTAATCCAAATAGGAACGTGCCCAAACTCTAGCATAACCTTCCTTCTGCACTCTTCCTTGAACAGCAACGACAGATTCAAGACTGGCTCTTCACAGCTTCTGTCTGCCAATGGGAGGAAAACCCACAGCCTTTGCAACAGAGAAGGCACTGCCTGTAATTTGAAAATAGTTGATCCTACAGGCGTCTTTTCAGATGCAAATCCCATTGAATTCCATGGGATTAACTCCTAGGGAAGAGTATATAGCAGTGGTAGGGAATGCACAGCCTTAGAGATATTGTCAGAATGCATCTTCCATTATGTCTGATCAATGTCTTGCTGCCAAGGTCTGAAGGGAGCTTGACAGCATCTAGAGGGCCACATGTTCCCGACCTTTGTTGAACAAACTGAAAAAGGAAGGGGAGCAGCAATTAAAGCCATTGCTACTAGGGTGTAGGGGAAGAGATAGTTAGAACGCTCTGTTGTTCCCAGCTGGGGCACCTGCAGGAGAAAAGTGTGTGACTGGGTGGGTAGTATGTTCTCCCACTTGTGCTAAAGATATAATGACCACACTGGAACACTTCAGTTGCACTGTGGAACTGAACTGTTCAGTTCCCCCTGTGCTGCCCAAGTCCAAATTCTCATATGGTTACAGACAGAAGAGCAAAAGACGTCTCTTTCCTTAATGGAGGCCTTTAATTCTTGCATGTATGAATGTACAAACACTTGTGCATCCCTAGCAACACCGCACTCCAGTCAAGACATAAAGGCTTTTTAATGGTCCGGGTGGGGTGTGGTGATGGTGGTGCATGTTTGAGTGCTCCTCTATGGGAGGGAAAACACACAGCTCCCTGCATGTAGAAATGCAGAAGGCCAGGGAGGGGCCAAAGTGGAACTCTTCTCCCTGACTTGTTTACTTCTTGCATGCAGGTTTTTTTTAAAGGGGGGCATTTAAATATGTGCACAAAAAACATTTGCAATCTGAAATAGCCCATTCTCAGAGAAGCATTACCACTCAGTTTTGTTAAATGTATGCATTAGATAGGCTTAGACCCTCCTCATGCCTTCAGTGATGGAGAAAGACAAGGCTGGGAAGGAAGCCTCTGAATTCTGGATGCTATTTGCTAACTTGCTATGTGTGACCTTGGTCAAGTCACTTCAACTCAGGTTCCTCTTTGCATACAAACGGGGAGAACAAAACTGACCTGGAGTGAGGAGGGATGTATTTGTTCAAAAAATGTTGTGTATAAAGATGGGAAGAAGACTATGAATGTCAAGGGGCGTCTTCACTGAGTGGCCCTGGGAGAGAAGGTGCCGGAGTGACAGGAGCTGCGCAAAGGAGGTGGACGCTGCTGTAGTTTTGTGCCAATAAACAAAATTGGATGACAGCTCAAACAAATGTTGTATGCCCTGCTCTTTTTGGGGTGTATATGTCTCTGTGTGTCAGTTTTCAGGATGCCTTTGTAGTGGAGGCAACAAATTAGTAAAGCCCTTGGGCCTCTCCCAGTTCTACATCAGTTAAAAATCATTTGTTTGTTATTACACAAGCACTTTTCTTCTTGAATAAGGTGTGAAATCATGGCTTGGATAAGCTGCAACATTGGGCCCAAGTACAGTGGACTCTCGACTTACAGACGGCCCAACTTACAGACTTTTTGAGTTACAGACTTCTCTGGCTGCAAAATTTAGGTTCGACTTGCAGCCGGAGAATTGACTTACAGACCAGAAAAAAAAATGGCTGGCTATGGCATTAATCGGTTTTCAATGCATTGTAGGTCAATGGAGACTCAACCTACAGACTTTTTGACCTACAGCCACCGTTCCAATACGGATTAATTCCGTAAGTAGAGGGTCCACTGTAAAAAGTCATCTTTGTCAAGAACGACACTGATACTCCAAAATATGCTTGGGAGAAAAATTGTAGACTGATATTACTGACTGGCTATGTCATTAATCGGTTTTCAATGCATTGTAGGTCAATGGAGACTCAACCTACAGACTTTTTGACCTACAGCCACCGTTCCAATACGGATTAATTCCGTAAGTAGAGGGTCCACTGTAAAAAGTCATCTTTGTCAAGAACGACACTGATACTCCAAAATATGCTTGGGAGAAAAATTGTAGACTGATATTACTGAGTCTCAACATAGGAAACATAACCATCTGACCAATCACTATGAAAATGTCAAGATCCAGGAACATTAAATAAATATTCTTGAGGTTGTGCAGCTCAGTAACAGTAGAGCATGGGACAGGGTGTTCTAGGGCAGTGGTTCTTAACCTTTTTGAAAGAAACGCCCCCTTGAACCATTGAGGAAGTTATCATTGCCCCTCTCCCCACGGCAATGATATCTTATTTATTTATTCAAGACACTTAAATCCAATGACCACTGGAAACAAAATTCAATTGCAAGAAAATGAAATACCCAATAATAACAGTAACATTTAATGATTTAGGTACAAGTGAATTTTAAGACGCAAGAAGAAATATAAAAAGGGCATAAAAACAAACCACAATGAAGGAACTAAATATTTCAAGATGAAAACTCTGAAACTAAATTAAGATTCGAGGAAAATATATATTCACGCACACTGTAAAAAGGGTTAAAAAGACAAAGAAAATTTTTACAGAAGGAAAGCAACAAAAATCAGAGCAACAAAAATATATATTTACACAAAAAGTTTATGCAAAGGGTACTACAAAAAAAATTGAAACCATAAAACCAAGAAACCAAAATATAATATTGGACTGCATGCTAAAAAAGTACAATACAAAGAGACACAGAAAATGTTTTACAGACCACAACAAGAATTCGAAAACGAAGCTGAAAACTCAAACTGGAACATGAAATCCAATGCAAGCAAATACAACAATAAGAGCTGAGGCAATTATTAATGAAGAAAATGTATGTACACAAAAAGCAAAAAAAAAAAAAAAATCAATGGCTGCCTTGTGCTTGGTGAGCTGATGCCAATTTCACGATGTCTGGAACCATTTTTGTTAATATCATTCTTAAATCGCCGTGCTCCGTGATCTTCAACATGTCCCTTGAATTAGAAACGATCTGTTGGACAGCGCTAAAGCCCCTCTCCACTAAGTAAGTGGAAGGAAAGGCTAAAATAAGCAACTTAACTTCCTCCCACAATATTGGGTAACTGCTCCTCATTTTCACCCAAAAAGCTTCGTAGCCGTAACTCTGAAAATGTGACTGGGCTTCGCAGTCGTATTTCAGATCTGTCAGTGGCTCTTGCAGTTTGGGATGAAGTTGTGCAAAGTCTGCTGTGAAAGGATTTAGCACCCAAGTGGGCACATTCAGATTTATGAGGTCATAGAATCTGGTTTCTATATCTTCTTTGAGTTGCTTCAAGTGGCAGCAAAAAACGTCCACATCATCTGCTTGGAGTTGACGTTCATTACCAAGGCTTGGGAAATGATACAGCTCCTGGCGACTCATATTGCTTGCAAGGAGATCCAATTTGGAAAGAAATGAGCAGATTACTCCTTTGGCCTTAATAAAATTGATTTTATCTCCTTGCAGCTTTACGTTCACTTCATTCAGCTTGTCAAAAACATCAGCGAGATAAGCTATATCCAGACGTCGAAGTTTAAGAGAACTGCTTAGACTTGGTTCAATGGATTCAAGAAATTCGACAGCTGTGTCAAAAAGTTCGTGGAATCGCTGCAGAAACTTTTCTTTTGAAAGCCACCTTACTTCAGTGTACAAAAGGAGATGTTCAAAATCCTCGTCATTTTCTTCACAAAGCTTTTGAAAAAGTTGGTTGTTAAAGCCTTTCAACTTAATTTCATTCACAGCATTAATAACATAATGTAAAGACTCATGCAAACGGCCACTCAAATTTTTTGAGACAAGGTGCTGTCTATGAACAACGGAATGGACAGTCATAACTCCAGGTAGAACCGATTTTAGATGAGCTTGAAATTCGCGATATCGTCCAACCATGGATGCATCTCCGTCGGTTGTACATGCCACAACGTTTGTCAAAGGGATGTTTTTTTCATTAAAAAACTCTTCAACCTTTTCAAATATCGAAGAACCTTTTGTGTCGGTGACTAAATTTCGAGCAAATAACAGCTCTTCCCTAATCTCTTCATTTCCATTGATGAAATGGGCATAAGCCAATAACAAGGCTTCATTTTCACAAATTGTTGACTCGTCAATCTGCATCACGAATTCTGTACTTTTCAAGGTGTCAATAAGCCTTTCTTCCACATCAGCAGCCATTTCATCAATCCTTTTTGATACGGTGTCACTGCTCAAAGGAATCGATTGCGTGACCGTGCTTGAGCTTGGCCCCAACATGATGGGAAAAATCTCTTTCACTACTGGTAAAATCAGTGTTTCTCCGATACTGTGAGGTTTGCCATGTTTTGCTATCAACAAAGATAATTCATAGGAACAAATGAGCCCCTTGTCGGCATTGAGTGACGATTTTCCAGATAACTTCTTAACCGTGCTGCGACCCTCAAACTTGGCCTTTAAGGATTGGAAAAACGATACTGGTTTGTCAGCTTTATCCGAATGAATTTTTACCAAATGGTCTTTCAGTTGGGAAGGCTTCATCATTTCATTTGAAAATGATTTCTCACAAAGAAGACAAAACGGAAGCTGTACGTTGGAAGGAGATGGAATGAATCCCAATTTTAGGTATTCCATTGAATATTGGTGACACTTCCTCTTCTCGGCCATGTTGAGAGGTCTTCGAAATGAAAAAGGCGGCTCCTGCTGCTCTGGATCTGCCTGCTGGATCATAAAGTATGAATTTTAGATCATAAAGTAGGAATAAAGCTAAATGGGTTAGAGGTAAAAAAATCTGTTTTATACCCATGGGCAAAACAAAAAACACATGAAAATGAAAAAAGGGTGCTGAGGTTTTTATCCAGTGGTAGTCACTCCACTGATAGAAGGCACTGTCTCCTTTCAGAAGAGGGAAGGAGACTGTTTCAAGTGATGCGATTGCATTGCGATGTTTTACCTGGCATTGAGTTTCGCTTACCGATCTTCGCATTGCAATGTTTTTTAAACAGCTGATCGGTGGTTCCAAAATGGCCGTCGCATCCACAAAATGGCTGCCTGCAGCGTTTTCACGCCCTGCCCTCACTTACCGGGCAGCGAAAATGGCGGCTGGATGGAGGATTCCCCGCATAGCGGTTAGTTTTTCCCCAATAGGAGCGCATTAAACAGAGTTTAATGCGTTCCTATGGGTTCCCCCCCGCATAGTGATGAATCCGGATAGCGACGTTAATCCTGGAACGGATTAAAGTCGCTATGCGGGGCACCACTGTATTGATTTTGCTGCTGTCTGAACTCTAAATTCAAGATAGCAACCCACTTAGGTCTCAAACTAATTTTTTTGAAAAGGCAGAGCAAAGTTACAGAGAAATTCTGTAGTTAGTAGACTTTGTATTAAGGAAATAGAGAAGCAAATTAGGGTTGTATATTGCCTTGTAGCAGTATAAAATTGTTCTTTTTAATACAAGAAGCATTGTTAGAATAATGCAAAAGTCTGTTGACCAAAGCAACCTTCTACACACGAAACTTGTTTAATGCAACATTTTCACTTTATCTTTTCAGAAGATTTCGAGAGGAATTTTCAAGTTTTATGCCAATCACTTCACAGTCCTGAGGGCTTTACAGTAGTAAGAAAGCAATGAGTAACTAACACTCTTTGCAGCATTTACTCACACAGATTACTTTGGGGAAAGGAGGGTTACAACATCCATAACAAATTACCTTTAAAAACAACTTTCCAAGTACCCAACAGAACAATAATCAAAACTGCTGAATAGCTCAATGAGTGATGGCGCACCACTCCAAACCGCCACTTCTTTGCAATGGGCGGGAAGGTGGGCCAAGGGCAGGGGATTGTGGGAGTTGTAGTCCGAACCAACAAATTACTCAAGTACAGGACACAACCTTATGGCCAGCTCTCCATTGTAAATAAAGGAGAATAAAGACACTAAATTATTTCTTGTAGAAGGGGGGAGAGATGAAAGAGAAAGTGACCTAAGGGCAACAATTTATATGTGAAAAGCCAAGAGGCCAAAGCGCTATTGGCTACCTTTCGGTCTACTTGTCACTCCCCGCTACATACAGTACTTACTTTACATTACAACTTCTAAAACAGAGCCAGTGGGCAGCCATCTTGGAAACAGCAGTCCTACAACATCGGGAGAATCACCCACTCCCCATGCCTACCCTGAAGCCCTTGGTCAACCGCACTATGAGAGAGGGCTCCAATAGGAGTTGCAAATATGATGATAACTAATAATTGGCTGCTCTTTTCTCTGCCATATTCATAAGTTCAGGAAACACTACATAAGATCTTTCCTTTGTGTCCTCAGAGAGGCTCCGAAGTTAAATAAAAGGCCAAGCAAGCTAATAATTAATCTCTCTTGAGTTAAATAAATAATCCAGGGCGTACAGCTTTACTTTTTAGATTACAATTCCCAGAGGCCCCCCCCCAAATAAACATGGAGTATTCTGGGAGGTGTAAGACAAAGCCAAAAACTTGCCTCAAAATTATTCTTTGTAAATATAGAAATTAATAATCGGCCCTGTTTTAAGCCAGCTAAGATAACACTAAAAACGCAGCTCTCCGCTATAAAAAATATTAACGGGAGCGATACAGGTTACCTGCCTTACACGCTCTTCCGATAACCAGATTAAGAATTCAGCGCAGTAAAAAACGCGCGCACGAGCGCCCAATTAGAAAGGCTCCAGATTCCATCCGGCCACAGGAAATTTTATCCCAACCTATCAGCTTGCACCCTGGCATTACTCACAGCCAATTACAAAGAAGAGTCTCTTTACAGCCAATCAGAAATCAGAAAATATCTCTCCGCGAATGACGAACCAGCAGCTACTTTTCACGGTCCTATCGGAATACAAGCTACCCCTCAGCGAGCTAATAGTTCCGCCTGCTGTTTTCGTTCTACTTGCAGCGGAACATTGGAAAGATGAGAGGCGCCGCCGCCGCTTAAATTGACAGCAAGGCGAGCCACTCAGCAGAGCACTTCCGTCACTCCCGGCCAGTGAGCATGCAGTCATGTGCACGCAGTCATTGAGAAGGCTCCGGTTACTACGGTCTAGCTAGGCACCGCCTCACCTGTTGGTAAGGGAGGCGTGGAAACGGAAGTCGAGCTTGCCGGGGTCAGGGGCCGGCTGTGTTGATGTTGACACTAGGCCGGGCCCGCAAACGGGCCGCAGAGTCGAAGACGCGCCTGTCAGGACACCTTGCAAAGGCCTGAAAGTGGCAGAAGAGGAAAGAGCTGGTGGCGCCGGGCTGCCGGGGACAACGGCTTTCCACTCGGACGCCTCCTGGGGGATCGACGGAGCCGCTCTTCCGCCTCCCTTTTTCTGAGCTGTGGCGGGGAAAGCGATGCCGTTGTGATTGATTCTGTCATCCGGGCACTTGTCTCCGCCTTCCCCCTTTTACCCTCTCTGAAAGAAGTGCTGGGCGTCCCCGAGGGCGCCTCACTTGCCCTCGCCTGCGGTCCCCTCCTCGGCTTTCCTAATCCGGGTACCCGGCTGGTTTCTCAACCCTCTTCATCCGGGTACCCGCCGGCTCCTCGGCCCTCTTCGTCCCAGCAGTGGGTCCCCTTCGCCTGCTTCTCTCTCTGTCTCTCTCTCTCGGGTCCCCCTTAATGCTCCTTCGCTGCCGTTGCCGGTCCCTGGCCCGCATACGGGTACTTTCCCAGCCAGCCCTCCCTCCCAATTCCTTCGGTTAACTGTCACTCCTTAGCCTCTCTCCGGCGGCGGGCCCCCTTTCCCCCCTTCCCCTCCTTCGCCGGTTTCCTGGTTTCACACACACACACCCCTCCGCTTTCTTCCTTCCCGCCCCCCTCG